GGGGGAGAGGGATGCGACCCAAGCTGAATGCTGTGGGAACTGGGGGGTGGCGTGAGATCTAAGATCCTGGGGACTTCGAGAAGGACCAGAAGGAGGAGTAAAGTGGATAGGGCCACAAGACCCCTCACATTTCCCAGACCGGGGTCCTGGGCACCCGAAGGAGACCGGTGAGCTGGTTGTCCATGCCAGGAGTGACAGGAACCGCTGCCCTTCGGGACTACCCCACCCTGGCAATTTTCGCCCCTCCAGACCCCTAAGGGCATTATTCCATGCAGACCTTAAAGAGCTCACCCTGCCTCTCATTCTCGCTGCTTCCCCTTCAGAAAGTTTTACTCTGGGAGTCCTGCCTGTCACTGCTTCGTGCCTGTGGAGCCATGTGTTAAGGTTGTGGGCCAAGAGGAGTAAGGAAGGGTCTCCAAATCTCTCTTAAACTCAAGGACACAGAGCATGTTTCACCTGGCGGGTAAAATGTTTGCAGATCTTTAAAAGGATGTCTTCTAGGTGATCACAAGGGTCTTTTGGAAAAACAACCAAGCAAGGAGCCAGGAATTCCTGACCAGAAAGAGTACCCAGGGGTGGAAGAAGAGGTAAAGGCTGGCTGTGCACTGTACTGGCCCAAGAATACAGACACGCCCTGAAAAAGCATAGAAACCTAGAAATGGACCCAACTGCTTTAGAAATTTGGGATACAATAAAAAAAAAAAAAGCTGGTGGGGGGAGTGGCTGTTTAATAAGTGGAGTTGGCATACCTAGATTCATAAGGATAAATTCCAAGTGATTCAGAGACCTGCCAGAATCTCAAAGTAGGAAGTAATAGAAAAAAATATGGGTGAATTTCTTAGTGGTGAGTGGGCAAAATCTTCCTAATTAGACCTCAAAATCCAATTGTTTAAAAAACAAATTTTTAAACTTGGTTAATTAAAAAATTTGTCCAGCCCACAAGAAAATACAAAATAAATTTTGGACAAAGATAACTGTAGAAATAATATTTGTAACAATGTAATAGATATAAGATGAACATTTCTAAAATTTTAAGAACTTTACAAATAAACATAAAGGAAAAACCACTAGCAAACCTGTAGGAAAAAATGGACCAAAAAGGAATATACAATTTGCAGAAAAAGAAATGGAAATAGCTGACATTGAATCATACTGTCTCATACATAGTAAGACACAATATGAACCTGAACTGTGATAACCAACATCTGACAACAAGCTGTTGGTGAATGATACAACACCCTTGAATGGGAATTTGGGAATATTTCCCAAAATTACCTGTATATTTTACCTGCCAATGTCACAATCCCACTTCTAAATATCTACTCAAGCATACTGAGGATACAACAAACCAAGTACTGAAAAGATCTATGGGCAGAACTATGTTAATTCAGCATTATTTGTTTACAACAAGAGATGAAATAACTAAAATGTCCACTGACAGATGATTTGCCAAATACATCAAAGTATATTCCACTATGAAGCTGGGGGGAAAAAAATCAAGTAACTCAATGTATTGCAGGGTGTGGTTTCCAGAATGTCTTTAAAATGTGAATGAAAGTATAGGCTACTACCTTTTATCTAAGAAAGTAATATGAGATGAATGTTATTATTTTTACAGCTGTGAGGTAAAACTGACAGGCAATAACTATACATAATTAAAGTGTACAACTTATAAGCTTTAACATGCATACCTGTGAAGCCATCTTCCCGCTCAAGACAGTGAATAAATCCTGCACCTTCAAAAGTTTCATCCCTTTGGTAATCCTACCTCCTGCTTTTTTGCACCCCTCACTCCCTACCATGCAGGATTTGTATCATAATACTTTTTTGCATTTCCTAGAGATTTATGTACATGAATATTTTCTATTTTCTCTGGAGTCTCTCACTCAGCATAACTTCATACCCTCTGTGTTGCTGTCTATCAATAATTCATTCTTTTTCTATTTCCTGTTCATTGCAAAGCTACCCCATAATTTATTCACCCATTGACGGCATCTGGATTATTTCCAATGTTGGGCTGTTATAAATGGAGCTGTTAGAAGCACTGATATACATGTTCTTCTATAGATATAAAATTCATTTTCTTGAGTAAAGGCTTAGCCTAGGATGGATCATTTTACAGGTACACATCTAGCTCTTTAAGAAACTGTCAAACTGTTTCAAAAGTGGTTGTATCATTTACATCCCCACCAGCAGTGTATGATACTCCCAGTTCCTCTACTTCTCCCCCTACATTAGGTATAGTCAGTCTTTTCAATTTTAGTCATTCTAATTCAGTGTGTAATAACACCTTATGGTGACTTAACTATGAATTTCCCTGATAAGTAAGAATATTGTGCATGTCTCAAAAAGCTTAGCTGTAATCCTCTCATCCTTGATGGAGTATCATTTTACTGGGATATGTCTTTTCTTATTTATGAGTCTTGAGAGTTCCTTATATAATCTCAATTGAGTTCTTTATCAGACATATGCAGTGACTGTTCCTCCTATTCTGTAACTTTTCGTTCTTGATGGTATTTTGAAATGGATCAATTTTGACCCATGGGTACTTCCAATAGTCCCACAACCATTCCTTGGAAAGACTTGCTTGTTCCACTTAATGGTTTTCTCCTCTTTTTCACACTGCCGTATCTGCATAGGTCTATTTCTGGATTGCCTATTCTGTTCCAATGTGCTCTACCTTTCCATTGATTCTATGCTGTCCTAATTACTGTAGCTTTATCATAAGTCTTAAAAATCCCATTGTGTTTGCACTAGTGTAGATTCTTTGGATTGCTATAAGAATTGTAGAGTCAGCTGTTATCTTACACAAGAAAATCTTTTGGGACTTTGAGATTATGTTGACTATTGATCAGCAATCTTAGTACCCAGAAGGCAGTCTCTAAATACTATTTCCCCATGCAAGGCTCCTTAGAGAACTTGCTACTTCAAGATCTGGGGAGCAAGTATGATACAGTCACTCTAAAAAGCAAACAGGATTTCAAGGACCACTAAGGGACACCAATGGGGCCCATGAGTCAAGCTGGAGAGGCTCCCAGTAATCGTGGGATAAAGTGAGAATAGTAAGAATGACAACTGTGGTGGACTGAAACACAACAACTATTTTTAAATCCATGACATACATGGTTTTTAGAAACAAGTTAGAGCAAACTAAAAAAATAACAGTGATTTAGGCTTTTTGGATAATGCAAGGAAGACAACTCATTATTTTGAAACATAGAATCAAATATTTATTGTCTTAATTAAACAAACCAAATCTCAGTTAAAAGAACTGATGATTAGACATGTCCCCAGAAATATTGCAGCCTTTAGGTGAAGACAGAACACTAGCACCATTTTGTATACTGTAATATATTTAACAAGGCTATTCAGTGTCACCAGTAATAGTAACATCAAAAAGAGGGGTACACCACACTTAACATGTCTCCTGACAGAAGTACACATTATCTCCTATTGGCTATTCTTGCCGGAAAGAAAAAATTGGACCTGAATCTGACTACTGATAACCAGGAAATGTAGAAGACCAGACAGTCACACCCATCTATGCCAGGTATGCAGTTAGGACACTCCAACCCTAAAGGCCAGTGAGCCCAAACAGCGAATCCACTGTGACAACCACAAACAAAAGGAGACAGAGTGAGTAGTGTGATACTTACTCTCCCACTGAAGATAGCTAGAAAACTGGGTAAGAGATATGAAAAAAAGTTTTTCCAACCAGATAAATAAAAGGTAGGCAGCACACAACTGGGACTCCGAAGAGAAGGGAAATCAGTTAGCTATGCCCTGTGATCGGCCAGCTTTCTACCCCAGGTAGAAGTGTGCAAGGAAAGGGAGCACCAAGGTGGAGAGACTACAAAAGGCCCACAAACCTGCCCTCTCTTTCCCTCTTAGGGCGCACTGGAGCAGCACCTGTATACAGTCAGACTCCTTGAGGATAGGCAAGAAACAACTACAGGAAAAGAACCAAGAAGCTTAACCACCACCAGAAAAGGTTGAGGGGAAAGGTTGTTGGGGGACATTTGTCTTCCAGCTGGTCGGGGTGAAGTAACTGTGCTAAAAGCAAAAGACCTTCAGAGGAGTCCAGAAAAATCCCACCTTAGCAGCAGGGTTACTCAGCTCTGGAGTAAACTACCATATACACCTCTCTAACATTCTAAAAATAAAACTGATCCACAAATAACCCAGCCGCCTCAACAAAACAAACCAACACTAGAAAAGAAATCATGAAGAACCCACACTCAACAATGTAACAATCACAGTGACTTGTATCTAATAATTTTAAAAAACCCTTAGACATGTAAAACAGCAGTAAGAAAATGTATATCCAATAAACCAGCAAACTAGTCTAGACACAAACACATCAAGAATTGGTAACATAAAAGAATCAATTAGCATACATATGGAAATATATATGTAACAACAAAACAAATCTCAGCAAGCTTTTTAAATAGAAATTTGTAAGTTGATTCTAAAATTTATATGGAAATGCAAAGAAACTCAGTGACCAAAACAGTTCTGAAAAAAAAAAAAAATACCCTACTAATGCAAAACCTACTATAAAGCTGTGGTAATCAAAAAAAGTATGGAATTGTCATAGAGCAGAAACAAAGAAAACAAAATAAGAGTACAGAAAGAAGGGCACAATGATCAACAGACTGTAAACTAAAGCTCACCTCAACTGGGAAGAAACAACCATGTTTAAATGGAGGAAAAACATGCAACTCGGCTTTACTCTCACACCTTTCACAACTATTAACTAAATTAACTAAACTCCAACACAAACCTAAACATGCAAACCATAACTATAAAACTTTTGGAAAACATGAGAAAATTCCTTAGGCAAGAAACAAAAAGTACTAACCATAAAAATGAGAATTATTCCTTAGGCAAGAAACAAAAAGTACTAACCGTAAAAATCAAAATTAATAAAATGGTGTTCATCAATACTTAAGACTTCCTCTTCAAAAGGCAACATTAATAAGGGCAAGCCATAGATTGAAAGAAATTATTTGCAAGGTATGTATTGAGTTGTATCTGAAACAGATGAACTCTTAGAACTTAGCATTTAAACAGAAAAGAGATTTTTAAAGCAACACCCCATGACTCCCTGGACTACCAAATGGTCAAATAAGTATTTGACATAACCCAAAAACTATTCCATACACATTCCCATTTTTTACCTATTTTTGATGTACCCTTTTCTTTAGCCTTTCAGAAGCCAGAATTACACCTTTTCCCACTTAGAATCCTTTATTCCTAGCATAATGCTGTTCACATGGGCCATCAGAATGCTTCCAATCAGTGTTACTGTGCAGCACTGCACCCTTTCCTCTTTACTTAGATGTGTTCATCCCATCATCCAGAGGCCACATCCTACTTTCCTCAGTCCAGGCCTAAAAAAGGCTCTGCATATCTTTATAAATAAAGTGAATAAAGGATTCCTCTTATATCTAGTAGCTGTTAAGAATTTTTAAGGGATGATGATTCATTTAAATAATCAAATTCAGAACTGACACTAGCTTTTTCACTGAAAGGTTCATTATAATAACTACAACATTCATTCTCAGCTGGAGAGCAGCCACGGGCCACCTGACCATGGAGAAAACTGGTCAACAGTTTTCTCCCAATTTCCCCAGGTAGTTGATGTCTAACTGTCCATCCAAACGAGGAGGAAGAGGATGAGATCCCACAGAATGCTGGGCATATACTATGCTTCACGCTAGCAACTCATCTACTCTGGACAACAACTGGAGTCAGAATTACCTGCATTTTAAAGATGAGGAAGCTGAGGTCCTTAGTTCAGTAACTGCTCAAGCTTCTAAATGACGAATCTGAAATTTGAAATGGGATCATCCTTGCTTTTCAAAACCCAAGCTTTTCACAGAACCAAACAAACAAACAAAAACCCTCTTTCTTACACATGTCTTTAAATAATGGAACCCAGAGGAAAAGTACATTTTTATGGAAGGAATACCGGATAAGGCCTTAAAGGGCAACTTTGCCTTCTTTGAAAGCTAATCTCCAAGAAAAAAATGCAATTACAACAAAGACCACAAGGGGGAGCTAACTCCTAAGGAGAGCAAAGTAAATGTCTCCTGACTTCTTTTTTGGAAGAAGGCAGACTGCAGCAAGTGACTTTCTAAGACACAAATCTGCTCCTACTCCTTTTCTTGCTTAAAACTTTCAAGGGTCCTCATCCCTAACAGTAACACCACTTAGGATGATATACAACTGATACACAACGCCCTTAAGCTTAGCTTGCCTCCCCTCCAAAAGAGGACCCTCTAACACTCAAGTGCAATCACAAAACTAAAGCTTTCTTGGCTCCCAAAGGTCTTTCTCTTCATGCCTACAGCATTCTGGCCAGGTTACCTATCTGGCCACACCCCACTCTCACCCCCGCCTCCCAGCACCTGTATTTGGCAACAAAATAAACAGCAAACTCTCCTTTGTCCTTCAACTCTGATCCAGAACAAGTGCCACTCACTTCTCACCTTCTCAAACCCTCCCACTTCAGCCAACTCACTGGACATCCTGCACCACTATGGTTAATCCTCTTCCTGCCCACAATCTTTTGTTCCTGGTGAACAGCTCTATCTCCCTGCTAGCCTGAAAGGTCCTTGAGAAGAACCACATGTCTGTGCCAGGTGACAGGCAGCAAACCCTCTGCTAAGTGCTGAATGGAACTGACTACCCCATCACAGTCAAGCCTGGGGGCCTGTTTCCCAGAGTCCTTTTCACCAAGACACTAAGTTCTTCATGCTCAGTCAACTTGAAAACTGGATCATCAACAGTCTATCTGAAGACACTGTACTGATCAAACTTACCATCTTGGTTAAATAAAATATGAGTGAAGATAATAAGAGGGCTGCATTTTCCAAAAGTGTACCACTGGCCGGCTCCTCAGCAACCGCTTCTGGCTGCGCTTCTGTACCAACAACAGGTGTGACCTCTGTTCTGATTATCCCTAAAATTGAGGGGGGAAACAAATATTTTATCCTTACAGTAAGAATTACTTCTCTTCATTTTCATTGTTTACGGAAGGCCAGTCACCATACCGAATATGTAGTCCTCTTAAAGACATTCATATAGAGAAAGAAATTCCAAGTCCCCACTAAAGACCTCATTTACAGCCAACCTACTCTACCCTTCCTGGTGCCTCCCATCTCACTGCAGGCAATCCACTGCTATCTCAACAATATTTACTCATGGGAAGTGAACAAAATGCAATTTTGTACTTCTCCATATAGACAACATCCTATTTGCTCAGAATTTATTTTGTGCTGGTGAAGCACAGTTTTAAGACACTGCAGGCAAGAATGAGTATAAAATAATCAGTTTGCAGACTTGTCAGTGGGATGCACCCAGTTTTATTATGCAGAGCTGGCACCTGGCAGGTACCAGGATTTGGAGCTGAATGGACGGAACTATACAACAGAGAATGTGCTCAATGCCAAGGGAGATTGCAGGGAATTGCTTGCAGGGAGTTGCTTACAGGGCGTCAGTCTGACCTGGCACATGTGCGAGAGGTAGGATTCCAGTGATGCCAGGAAGGATTCCTGCTTGAACAGATGGTAGGAAGGAGATTTCAGTATGGGCTTGGGGTCTGGGTATCTTATACAAACAGCCGGAAGGCCAGCAAGCACATGTGAGCAGCCCTGTTCTCCAACCTGGGATCCCCTTCACACTGCCCTCTGAACCTGACCTCTGGTGCAGTGTTCCCCTTGGAGTCAGCACTCAGCTTGGGGGTAGGGAGAGACCTTTGGGACAATAACCCTGCACAGGCTGCTAATATCACTTTGGGGTTGAAATTAAGGAGCAGAGCAGAAAATTCTGTTTTAACTCTGTTTCAATTCTGCAAGAATTTTTTCCCGGTCCTGAAAGTTTTTGAGAATAATAAGGCTTAATGGTATGTGGCTCATTTTCAATGAGCAGGTACTTTTTGAGGTTATAAGTGGAGAACAGGCCCTCTCTGGTGGCACAAAGGGTTAGGACGCAGCACTGCAAGCTAGCCACAGCCACTTCAGTGAGTTCGACCCCCGGCCCCGGAGGTGAACCACATGGCTCAGCAGACCTCTCCTGACCTCCTTGCTGCTCCCCTTAGCAGTGTCAATCTGCCTGTTCTACTCCCCACTTTGTCTCTGGTGAATCCTCTCGCCACCCCTGCACCTCTGGCTTGTACCCCAGTTCTATATGAATAAATAAATCTTTAAAAATAAATAAATAAAGGTCTGATATGTTAAAAAGAAGAAGAAGTGGAGAACAGTACGTGTGAATTCAACATCCTTGACACAGAGGCTTCTGATAGGTTATTTCCTCTCTGCCAGGGGTGGCATCAGAGGTTTTGCTGGACCTGTGCTTACAGACCAACCCCTGAAATAGAAAAACAATGATGACATCCTGGTGTTCAAGTTGTACAGACACAACAGTCGCTGTTCACTGACTAGCAAAATGGGTAGGCTACACGAACACCAGAAAAACCGTCATGGGTGTTTCTTCTTCTTAGAAGTACTTTCTCAATTCAAATAAAATGAATTGCCCGTCACTCCTCCTCTCGGATGGTTATTAAATCCTGGGGTCAAGCGCCACTCACACGTATGGGTCCACACCACCTAAACCATTCCATAGTAAGTGTTCAGCATCTTTTCTATGATTTCATGGCAAAAAGATATCTGGATATAAATATCCCATTTTTAGTTTGAAAAAAGGTTTTACGGAGTCCGGATGGTAAATTAAGAACAACCTTTTCTACTGGGGAAGCAGAGGTGGAGGTTGGAGAAGAAAAATACTGTAAATTTCATAGCAATGGCTCTCTACTAAGTTCAACAAATCAGAATTTTCCAAGGCTTGTAAAACAGATTGCTGATCTCCACCCCCGAGTTGCTGATGTAGTGGGGCTGGCTGAAAACTACTGTTTTAGAACAGAAGGTTTTTTAAGAATAGTATTTTAGACTGAGATTCTTTACACAAGCTAATGATAGCATAACAGTGGTTTGAAGGCTAGTTTCAATTTCTGGCCTCTTTCCTCGTATCATCTTCACCTGCCTCAGCTACTGCTTTCTCTGTTCTCTCGGTTCTCACTTTAAGCTCTTTCATACCCGTGTTATTCTTTATTTCCTTCCCTATCAGCATTTCATGATATGCTTCTACTCCGCAAAGAAAAATTAGCAAGCCTTACCTGAGTCTACATCAGTCTCAGTATTTGGCTTCTGTGACATTTCTGAGGTCCCGGTGTCACTGGTCACTGGCTGATCCCTACGGCTGGGGTCCCCGGGAGTCTGTATGTTAAGCTCTTCTGTTTTATCATGTGGGATGGTATCTTCAAGTGGTGCTTGGAGCTCTACAGGGAAGAAGAGTGCTTGATGACCCTCCCATTCAGGCCTCCCAAAGGGCAGCACCCTTCTGTGTCCGCTGCAGACCCTTTGCAGGCATCCGTGCAGCAGCACTGGGCAGGATGATAAGAACTGCAGCTGCTTTCATTTCCCACCAGAATGGCTAATCTATATAATAAAATGGACAACCATTATTCCAAAGTACTTCATAAATAAGTACCTTTACACAGGGGTTTCAATCACCTAACTTCCCTTGGCAAACCTGCCCATAGCCACACACATCTTTTGTAAATTGTATGAAAGATAGTTTTCCAGTCAAGAGCAGATATAGAAAACATCTACTTCTTACAGAAAGAACCAGAACTTTGCTACTGGCACGCTTGTCTCACAAAGCTAGTGCAGATGAGAAAATGACACACAGCTGCTTGCTGAGAATATTCTCAGTTATGTCACACGTCACACTGAGAGTAAGAAAGTGAATCTGGTTCATGCCTAAGGGGCTCAGGGCACAGCCCAGTCTAGCCCACACCAAAGATAAATTTCTTTGAAGCTGATAGTTCACCTTGAAAGTTCATTTGGATTTTGCATCCTAAATCCAAAATATATCTGCCTTAATGCAAAATATTCCACTCTCCAAATTCTCACCAAAAAATGGCACTCTGACAAGACATTTATCCTAATGGCTTCAAAAACACAGTCAGAATCCTCTGAATCCTGGTTCCATCCTTGAAAAATCTGAATTCAAGAAGCCAAGAGAGGAGTGGAATTTCAACTGTTCCAAAATGGTAATAAAGAACGTGCATCCCCAAAAGATGAAAGTTGGGGAATTGAAGGGACTAGAGCAAGGATTGATTTAAAAATTATGTGGATCAGTCCTTGGTAGGGCAGCAGTTATTTTATGATAAAGAGTTGTGCTCAAAAAGAGAGAGAAAAACTGGGATGGAGGGAGGGATAGAGGGATGGATGGATGGATGGATGGATGATACAAAAAATGGATGATGACTGTTAAGATGGATGAATGGATGATGGATAAGGTGGATGGATGACACACGCACAATGTGCAATAGGCACTTACACACTTTTCCATGAAACGTGTACCCTAGCAGGCCTGTTTTGTGCATCATTGTCTGGTGTATATCTTTTTCTTTTTATATCTTTCTCTTTTTATAAAAAGTTTCTTTGACAATGCTACCGGGCTCAACAGCCCTAAGGGAAAACAGGGCAAGAATTCCTTACCCATACTCTAGCCTAAAAGGATGACAGGGAGAATGTCAACTGTGGACAGAGCTATACAAATAAAGTTGAGGCACACATACACACTTATCTTTCAAGCCCACTGCATAGCCACAGGCAGGCACTTTACCTTCCAGGGGTGCACCCCAGTTATCGTCTGGAGCCTGTGGTGTTGCCAGTGGCACCGTCTCCTCCACTGTGGATTGTTTGTACCTGACAAAGTAGATCAGATCCTGAATATCATCTAGCACAGCTGCCTCTTCAAAGATGGTATTTTCCTTCACTCCTACGTCTCCATTTTCTGTGACACGGGCATCAAGCATTTTCTCTGCTACGTTCAGGATGTGTGACTCAGAAGCCCGAAAGACCTTTTCTAGGACTTTGTCCACATTATAAGGCAAGCTATCCTGTTGTGCTGCCTTCAGCTTTACTGACATTTCTTGAAGCATGGCTTCTAGCTCATGGACATCAAAGTACTTTTGGAACCTTTGCAAAGACTGTTGGTCTTTAAAGAAACTGCCTATTATGGGCAAGCCTTTCATGCCATCACTACGCTCTGGCTTTGCCTCTGTATGTGGGGTCCAGTGGGACAGGTCCTCCTCATGCTCCTCAGTAGCAGACCCCTGGCTTTCTGTGCCCATCAACTTCTCCTCTGAGACTGTCTGGTCCTCCTTTGAAAGGTCTTCTGGCCCAGGCTTCTGAGGGAGCTTGGAAGTCTTTGGGAGGTCCTGGGGGTTGTCTTCTTGAAAATAAGTAGAGTCTTTATCCTTAAACAGTTCCCCTAGCTCTGGAGTCCCATTTTTCTTCATATCAGGAGAGGCACTGACTTCAGGGGGGCTCTGGGCTTCTTCACCCACAGAACGGCTTTCTTTTTTAGCCACCATACTACCCAGTCCCCTGCCTACCAGTTCTGTATCCTTGTCCCCATTTGCACTTTTTCTTTCCCTTTCCAGAATCACACTAGTTTCTTTGGTTTCTTCAGTGTCTGGGTCAGTGTTAACAGTGCCTACAGTAGCTCTGTCCGGGACTTGCAGGTTGACAGCTAACATGCTGCCCTGCACCCCACGGGGTTTTGCTTGGGCCTGCTTTGCACTTATGGCATTTTCATCCTCCAAGAGTTCTTCAGGGGGGTCATCATCTTCTGCTCCTGGTTCTTCAAGAGGGAGTCCTGGCACCCCTACACCTACAGCAAGGCCTGTAGCATCTCCAGCCCATGTACCAGACCCTGGACTAGGAAGAAAAGACTCTCCATCAGAAGCCTCCTCCCACCCCTCGTCCTTCGAGAGACTCGTCTTCTCATCCATGTGTGAATCATTTGTAGCAGCCACGTCTCGTTCCTGATGCCTAGAAAGATTTCTTCCCCAAATGGGAACCCCTTCTTCCAGCTCTCTTGGAAAACCAATTTCATCTGGAGAGGAGAATCGGGGTTGATTTTGGGTTTGCAGAAGCCGTTCTTCTTTAAATGCCTCACCAGGATGCACCTCTGAAAGTGGGTGTGCCTTTGGTCCACTTCCTGCCACAGCAACTTCCTGCACAAGGTCTTGAGATGCATTATGCTGACTATCTCCCCCATGAGGTGCAGCATCCATAGGTTCCTGGTTCATCTTTTCTCCATTCAGTTGCTTCCCTGTGGCCTCAGGTGTCAATTTGCTCTCTGAGCCTCCTCCTGAAATCTGCTCTCCAGGTTTTTCTTCCCTGAGCATTTCCTTTGAGATCTGAACAACTGCTATCTTCAGATCGCCTTCTTTGTTATCAAAGTCTGGCTTTAATGTTTCTTTGCCCTTTCCAGGGGCTGCCCAAGAGTTTTGGTTGTTTCTTTGAGTAAAACTGGGCATGGTGGCACCTTCTTTCATCTCAGCCTCTGTCTCATCTTTCACGAGGCTCCTCTTGGATTCCACTTTCTTTCCTTCAGTGTGGATTTCTGTGTCTGTTTCTGGTTCTTTGTTATTATCTGTCTTAGAGACTTCCACAACCAAAAGGGCATCTCCTGACTTTTCGGGGTCAAGGTCATCACTCGCTGATGATGGTTTCCCCCATGTGGTCTCTGGGGTTAATGCATATGCCCCTTCCTTCCTTTGCTCTGTATCAGAATGCTCTGAATCCATACCTGTTTTGTCTTCACCCCCTGTAGTCCCAGAGATAATAGTGTCCTCCAACGTTGTTAAAATAGGTTTAGGGTCATTTTTGATGCCAGAGAGCTGAGTTTCCCTAACCATATCCCCCTGACTCGGATTCTGCTCTTTGTCTATTGAGTATATCTCCATTCCCCGTTCCCCTGGAGTTTCCCTTTCTTCTAAATGTGTAAAGGTTAGCAATGGTAGTTCATCGAAGTCTTCTTGACTCTCCTCTTCTTCCTTCCCAACTGTGTAATAATCTGCTTCCAATTCCTCATCAAAATCATCTTCTAAAGAAGTAACCAGTCTGGTTGTCTCATCATCAGAGACCAATGCATCTGCAGTTGAACCAAATTTGGTTTTCAAGTCCAGAGTCATTTCTTTTTTCAGGAGTTTGTAAGCGTCGATCTTCTCCTGTTCAGTTGAGACTGGAGAACTATTGCTGGTTTTGTTGTTTTCACTTTCTGAAACTTTTAATTGATCATGCAAAATTTCTTCAAAGGACCTCTCTCCTTGAGCATGATGGGCTTGACTGTTGCTGTGGGGCTGTTTCATTTGGCCCTCATGTCTGTCCTTCAGTTCCTTATTATTTTCAAAGAGTAGATTTTTGCTTTCCTCTGAGTTGAAGTCTTCTATTTCAAGTTCAGGATCACTTTCCTCAGATACTTCAGGAGATTTTCCCACATGCTGAGATTTTTTTACAGTTTTCCAAGAATCTCCAGTTGTACTATCAGGCAATTCCAAAAACCCTAACAGTTCTTCTATATTATAATTATCAAAATCATCTTTTCCTCCATCAAAGCAAACAAAATCTGTCTCCTGTAATACAAAGAAAAGCAATAGTGTGTCATCAACCAAGTGTCACAAGAGTAAACTGCCCATGCTGGTGGCAAAGGCAGCCTCAAATTCTAGAAAGGCTTTTGTGCCAACTTAAAGCAATGACTATATTTGGAAAGTCAGTTGAGAAGAGCCACCCACTACTCCTGGCTTCTTGTATCCATGAGGAAGGATTCCTACTTAGTGACACTCCTGGCCTCCCTTCATTCTCTTTCCCAGCGTAAGAAAGTGGCCCAGGAGTCTGCTCTGCACCATCCCTGTCCACCCCGCCCCACCCTCATTTTCTGTTTGGGACCTTCTGGAGGGATCACTCTTCTCCCCCTCCATGCTGTCAGTTCACTGTGGAAATGTGCACAGTTAGCTAACTCTAGCCATAGCTTGGGGAGGGCGGGTGGTGGGGGGCGTTGGCCTTATTATAGATTGTTATGTGAGAAAGCCCATTCTTTCTACACACTTGTTCCATGTTCACCAAAGAGCTTTATCAATAAATAATGGTGACATTTTGTTCCCCATCTCTCTGGCTCCTGAGTCTCTCAATTTGTTCTGAACATAGAAGAAAGAGAGGTGTCATTTACTAGACCCCCACAACTTCCAACATCTGTGCCTGATTTTCTAGGAATTCACCTTGGAATAACTTGCCCAAGAGAACCTGAAAACCAGCTGGTCTCTCTGTCATTGTTCCATCTAAGCTATACTTCTCAGCTTAACATTTAGATCCAGCAGAATCACCTTGCTATCAGGTTCGAGGTCAACAGAGACTTTTGAATCTTAATGTCCTTGGGTTGGGAAAAATAAATCAACTTTCAAAGTATATTACTGAGACACAGGTATATGTGATAGGGGAATAATTAAAGGAACAAAGAACGATGTCATGAGAAAATTTCATTTAGTCATCACAAATACAACTTGAAAACAAAATTCAATAAAGAATATATTCCATTATAAAGCAGGGATGTAGGTATCACTGAGATCTACTTTCAGGTATATGTGTAAAGCTATGTTCTTCCTTTCCCTCACTGTCAGCAAACTGACATAAAAGGGACAATAGAGAAAAGTTTAAAAAACAACAGCGATTTTTTTCTCCAAACTAAACTTTTACAATATCCTAAGGAGATTTAGTGAGTGTATTAGGGTTGGATGACTTGTCTTTCCATCACATGCATTTATAAACTACAAAGAGAAGCATGTAGGTTCCAATGAGAAGGCAGAATCCAAACCAGCAAGGTAAAGACCAACGACTGCATGTCTCAAACATCTGTTACTTCATTAGGACTTGTCTTCAATGAGACTAATGAAACTGCAACAGTGCTGATTTTGTGACTCTCAAGATTATCACAATTTTAAGGAAAGTGGTATGCCTATCACTTCATCCACTACTCTGCCAGATTCATCTACGAATTGCCCCAGACCAGCTGCCTGCATGCTGGGAGGTAATTCCCAGAGCTGTGAATAATGCCCAGAGATTTGTGAATAAAAGTGCCCACCAGTTAGTATCAATTTTAAAACTCCAGAAAATCATCAGTTAGGACACAAAATCCTTTTCATCATAAAGCTAGTTTCCATCAGTGCACCTTTATGGGATCACTCTGGTGATCTGTGACTGGACCTCACCCGAAACTCTCAAGTTCTCTTTTATAAATCTGTTACATAATATCATCCCCATGCTTATGAATGAAAACCCTTGCATTTCTGACTTAGTACATAATTTAGATTTTGATTAAAGTATCCTGTTTAATTAGACCTGAGAGGTCTACAATCCAAAGAATTGTTTTCAAATGGGGACATCTGATCCTTTTGCTCATACAAAGAATTATTTATTCTTAAATTTAATAATTAATGACAAAGATAGTGAAATCTTAATTTTTCTCTCATAAGGCAGCAAAGAAAAAGCTTGCATAAGAGGGTATAATAGCCCAGCATAAGAACACCAACTTCAAAGTAAGAGGTAAGTGTTAGGTTATGATACAAAATCCCTGTAAATGCTTTTCAAGTTTCCTTTCCTTTTAATTTGTAAAGGCCAGGACCTGATTCTAACTTAAAATCTGATACATAAACATTAACTTGCTTTTATTTTTTCCTGGCCAAAACAAATCCAAAGCCTTTCAAAAGGCTTATTTCACTGAATGTAACATGAATCTGTAAACAAATTTATAGTTGAGAATGAAAAAAAAAAAAAAAGTCCTCAACTCACATCTGCCGGAACTTGTAACTCTTCTTTAGTATATTTGTAGACAACTTGGATTAAGTCTTTTGGAAAATATCCAAAAGTAGGTCCCACCTATATGAAAGAATGGGAAAAAGTAACAAACTGTAATCAAACCTCTATACAAAAATGAAACTAGAGACTTCTTAGTCATGAGAAGAAATACACAGATATGGAAAGCTATAACCACAAGGGAGAAATCGCTGCTATTACAATTCAACAAATTATTATTCCCATAAAAACTAAGTACGAAATAAAGTAAACATCTTCAAAACCAGTGAAGTTTTCTTTCAACATTCAGGTTAATTCAAACACAGGGAACCTAGATTTGTGAAGCAGATAGAAGCTCCATAAAAGACAAATTTATATGATTAGAAATTATGCAAATAAAAAGCTGGGTAGAAACCCAATCCCAAGTAACTTCCAGCAAGAACTGACCTGCACATTTCACAGCACTGCTCATAAACCAGGACTTGTACATCTTTGTTAAATCAATCAATAGCAGTCATAAAATTAAAAAGCTAAAAGCATGTAAAATTTCTGAAATGTGTGACCCCCCCAACAGCAAAGGGCTAACAGTGGTAGCGATTATGAGTTATACTAGCTTTTTCAAAAACCAGATATTCAAGTATTTGGGGAGAAAATAAAATTCATACTCACCTATTCATAGATCAAGTAAATAATCTCTACATCAAATAATCCCACTTGTCTATACCACTAACACCTAAGGGATATACAGTGTGTCCTCTTGAGATGCATACACTCTTTAATTAGCTACAGTCTCAAGGGAGATCTCAATCACTAAAGAAGGCGCCTGACATGCAGATCGTGCACAAAAAAGAATAAAAACACTATCTTATCACCAACTCCTAAAATATCCTCATTATGAAGGCTCTTGTTATATCTGGCAACTCTCTGAAAGCCTGTAGTAGTAGTGGAACACTGCCAGGAGATTAGATAAGACAGGGCAATTAAAATCACCAAAAAACTCTGGGAAACCAAAAAGACTGCAGATGAAAACTAAAAAAGAGAAGAGTCATTTTTAAGAACATGAAAGTTTTTAATCACCTCAAGAATAAGCTTCATGAAATGAGAGGGGAGGCTGAGGGAAAATACACTTCCTTCTCAGGAAAATTTTATTAAGAGAAAAATCTGGAAAAAAGGAAAGGAAATCAGATGTATATGGGGACAGGGAAAACATTTCTCTTTGTGTAATCTCTGTCATTAAAACCAGAGGTTGGTCCTCCCTGGTGGCGCAGCGGGTTAAAGTACTGCACTAAGAAGCTTAAGCCACTTCTGCATGAGTTCCATTCCTGCCAGCCCTGGAGGAGTCCACATGGCGTGGCAGATCTCTTCTGACCAGCCCACTGCTCCCCTCAGCAGTGTACTTCATTGATCTGCCTGTTCTGCTCCCCACTCTGTCTCTGCTGAATCCTCTCACCCTCCGCATCTCTGGCCTGTACCCCAGTTCTATATGAATAAATAAATAAATCTTTTTAAAAAAAAAAGAAAAAGAGGCTAAAGGATTCCACTTTTACACAGGAGGAGGAAGGGTCCTATTTCTTATAAAAATGTTGCAGGATCTGAGCTTTCAGGGCTAGAAATCATCTTCATGTGTCATTTTGCTCCATATATCATTCGATTTGATTTGAAAAGGAAATAAGAAGCAGAATATTGTTTCAAGGGAACAAAATCTGCATAAGCAAACATCAGGAAATTTGTCAAGAAGCCAGACCGCCCTGAAAGGAAATATTCTCCCTGGAAGATGGGGATGAGAGGGCCTCTCTAGTATCAAGATTTGGCACTCCCAGCAGCCGAGACAGCGCACACCACCTGGACCACAAAGCTGTAAAGAAAGGGAGGGAGGATAGGGCAGTGCAAACAAAGCGCCACCTAACAATGAGATGACAGCCAAAGTCCCTGCAGTAGGGGCCACAGACAGTGAGGTCCTGGGCAGGAGACTGGGACATTGGGACATGGAACCCAGGGAGACAGATAAGCTTTTTAGAGGCGGATACAGTCAAGAGCAAAAGTGTGGAGGTAAGAAAACCCCAGTGGTGTTCACTTACTTCAGTGCTAAAACTCAACCACTCTAGAAAGAGGCAGGTACAGGACAAAAATTCCCAAGAGTAAAGATTATCAAGAAATCTCACTGACAGAACAATAAAAGAAACAGAATTGATTCTTCCAAGTACAGAGTGGTTCACCTGGGATTCTGTTGAGATATAGGGGTGGTGATCTTTCTGGATTCCTCAGTCTATTTTCCTGGAAGCAGGTTTCTCAAGCCTTATTTTCTATTGTTTGCTGTTTTATTTAGATTGACCATTTTTAAACTTACAGCTTGGCAAAGCTCTTAGTTTGAACAATTCTCAGGACACCAGAGACTCACTACTTCAAGTCAATGAACAGTCCACTCAATAAACTTTTTAGAAAGGAAGGGACAATAACTCATAAGCATAAGCCATTCAATCAGGCCACTGCTAATGAGTCTCCTTGTTGCAAACATCAAAACCAAATGCATTCATGAATTTCCACCTATAAAAGTGGCTGGAAGCCAAACTGCCGGGGAGGCCTGCAGGAGCAAGTGTCTGAAAAGCTGGTTATGGCTGGCCCAGGGATTGTTCCCCACACGCTGCCAATTTTTTAAAAATATTAATAATTAGAAAAAAAGAACAACACATAAAATCAACATTAACTATGAAAGCCTGAAACACTACCTTGCACACAGTTGAAAGAGATTAAGCATTAGCCCATGAACTACTCCTTTCTTTGCAAAGAACTTAAGAATTTTCCCATTTTCAAACAAAGGGTTAGATAAAGTCAAACATTACAACTAAGTCTTGAAAGCTAAATATAGAACAAAGGAATCTACGCGGGGAGAAGAGAGGGAGGAAGACAGGGAGGGCAAAGTGGGGAGAAAACCTAGGGAGAGGAGGGAACACAGTGGACCATGAGGTGGACTATGGTTACTTTGGTGATGGGTCACTATGGTTATAACACTTGAAGATGGGGCCCCCAAAACCAACGAAGTAAACCAACATTAGCTCTAGGAAAAAAACAATGATTTATGTAGTAATTTAACAGAAGAATGGGCCTTGCAAAGGTAGAGCAAGTAGAACATTCCTGTGGCACAGTGGCTGGTCTTTTTGAAGAAAACTGAGGTCAGAGTGCAGTACTGTAAGAGCTGAGGTCAGGAAGGTAACAGGGCCAAATTCTCCAGGAGTTCCTTATTAACAACTGGGAAAGACTTCCAGTAACTAGGAGGTCATGCCCCTGTTTTGCCATGTCTGATATTAGATCACAATCATTGATCCAGAAGAAGAAAATGGCCAATCAGTTTCCTCCTTTTGGAAATTTCAAAACTGGGACACAGAAATGCATAGATTGGCAGGGGTGGAGGGGGTGGGGGGTAGGGGGTCGGCGCTAGAGTTGAAGTCTTCTTACTGGTAGAATCCAAGAAATACATGATTCAAAATTAACTCTAGTTGTTAAATGCTGAAACTGGCAACTGGCTTACTTCTTATCTACGCTCAGTTTTGGATAAACCTCTTTTTGAGTTCATGCAGGACACTCCTGAACCATTACAATGAATTTGCTCCACCACTCAATCTTTTTCGTAAGTAAAGCAAAGCTAATTTCTGATGTTTCCAAATTAAAGGGCATTAATATAAAAAGAAAAGAACTTTCCAATTTTCACTATATCAACTTCTACTAGGTATGGAGCATGGCTGGCTGATAATGTCTGGAACATGACTTGCTGGGAGCAATGTCATGGGGAACATGCCGCTGAGTCTACTCTATGCAGGGCCTGTTGAGGACAGAGAGCCCACTTCTTGAACAGAGGATTTGTGAATACCATCAAAGACCATATAAAAACGGTTATTTAAATCTACAGTGCTAATAAAACCAGGGAAAAGTGGGAAATTATTAAAGTATGTAAAATTTTACTTACACTTCCAGCCCAAACTTCAGGCCATCTTCCCTCCAGTTTATAATAGACATAAACAAGTTCACCTTTTTTAAAATTCACAAAACGGCAATCCGGTCCTGTAAAATCTTCTAAGGCCTCACCCCGGTACATTAACACTATATAAAGTGAGAAAAAATAACCAGACATCAGGATTCAACTTTGTTAGTAAATACAAAAATACTGGAAACAACCATCAAGTATCTCCAGCACCCTCTGCAATTAATTAATCATGTTAAATTCATGTGCTCAAAGCACCCACACTCTTTACAGCTTTATTGATAAAAATCATAACAACTCCTCAAGCAGAACCTGGAAGAGGGAAACTTCTGGTTTTTCTCTAAAGATTATGATAAGAATCAAAAAGCAACATATCTCACCACACAAAGCTGGCTTCAAGTGAAACTTGGTCCCCTTGCACATTTTCTAGTACTGCATCTTTGCTGCATTTTACAAGTGAGTAAATTCAAGTACAGATGCTGACAGGCTTAAGCAAGGAAAGATAATAGGGTACAGAGAAAAAGCACCCAGGAATCCCCATGAGGTCAATTAAAGTAGACTAACCACTAAAAGGCCTTATCTTTAAGTGGCTGTAACTGCTAACACACAGCAGTAAACACTGCCAATTTCACTTGCCAGCCAAGGTGCTCTCCCTTCAATATCTGGATAAATTAGCAGGGATGGGATATAACACCTCTTTATGCAGCCAATTCTATTACAAGAAAACCTATTCTGAAAATAATGTTGGCTATAAGCAACATTAATAAGCTTTTAAGACAAAATACCCTATTTATGTATTCCTATACATAAAATTAAAGTGGACATCATGTATAGCAGAGATAAGGAAAATTATGAGGCTCATTCAGTAGTTACCCTCAGCCTTAAAATGCAGGATTTGGCCCTCCCTGGTGGTGCAATGGGTTAAAGCACAATACTAAGAAGCTAAAGCCACTTCCCATGAGTTTAATCCCCACCTGCCAGGGAGGTGATCGACATGGCACCACAGACCTCTCCTAACCTGCCCACTGCTCCCTTCAACAGTGTACTTCATCAATCTGCCTATCTGCTCCCCACTCTGTCTCTGTGAATCCTCTCACCACCCCTGCACCTCTGGCCTCTACCCCGGTTCTTTATGCACAAAAAAAATATTTTTTTTTAATGCAGAATTTAAGTCGCACTCAATCTAAGAACAAACAGGAGTATATTTCTTGTTGCTGGCCAGTTTCTGATGATTAAATAGATGATAAATGCAAATAAGTAGCAAAGAAAATGTAGGGTGAGATGGAAATAAACCATTTTCTAAGAGCCGACTGGCAATAGAAGTTCAATAAAACATCTCTTCAAATACCTGTCTGAGGAACATACATAGATCTGAAGGAGGTTAGTTGATTTTTGAAGCTAAAATCTGGCAATTTGGGGCCCTCCCTGGTGGCACAACAGGTTAAAGCACAGCACTATGAAGCTCTCCCCAGCCACTGCAGCATGAGTTAGATACCCCGCCAGGGAGGTGACCGACATGGCGTAGCAGACTTCTCTTGACCTGCTGCTGCTGCCCTCAGCAGTGTATTTCAGTACATCTGCCTGTTCTGCTTCCCACTCAGTCTCAAGTGAATCCTCTCACCCACATACCTTTAGCCTGTTCTTGTATACATAAATAAAAATCTTTTAAAAAATAAATAAAATCTGGGCCCTCCCTGGTGGCGCAGCGGGTTAAAGCACAGCACTGAGAAGCTAAAGCCACTTCGGCATGAGTTTGATCCCTGCCTGCCCCAAGATGACCACATGGGGTGGCAGACCTCTCCTGACCAGCCCGCTGCTCCCCTCAGCAGTGTACTTTGTCCATCGGCCTGTTCTGCTCCCCACTCTGTTCTGGTGAATCCTCTCACCACCCCTGCACCTCTGGCCGGTCCCCCAGTTCTGTATGCATAAATAAATAAATCTTTAAAAAAAAATCAGCTGGAAAATCAATTAATTAAAAAAAATAAAAAATAAATAAAATCTGGTAATTTTAATATATGTCAATAATTTAGACTTTTCTACTTGAGAGGTCAAGTGGAGGGTGACTGATAATTTAAGATTGGAGAGTCTCTCAAAGTTAGAATTGGCAATATTTTTCCTGCCTCCCTCAGAAGAGATCCTTGAAGATTTGTAACAACCCATCAGATGACAACATAATACAAACTATAGAACACCTGCCTGGAAAGCTCACAAGGACACACACACACCTCTTTCTAAACACTTACACCTACAACACAACCCTGGACCCTGCTCTGGCAGCCTGTGTGTTTGGTAACATCTGTTGGACACATGCCATTTCTCACAACTCAGGGCCCTTCAACACCACCTCTCCTGCTAGGGAAGCTTGCGGATGTCATGTCCCCCCAGGCTAGATAGTGCTCAAAGGCCAAGAAGGCAAACACCCTGCTTGCTGATAACCTGCATCTGCTAAAGAAATAAAGGGGAAAAATCGTGGAAGCAGTTCCACTTTTTGCAGTGTCTGTTTACATCAGCCCTAGACTTACTCTAGGAATCGCTGAACAAAAATCTAGATCACCTCTCTTTTTTTAACAGTACTGCAGCGATACAAACGCCTCAAATTATGAAATTTAATAGCATTGATTTGGATCACATTGAACTGGATCACTAATATGTAGGTCTGTGGCCTTTTCAGATTGTACATGTTTGTACAGGTATTGATTAGAATTTATGAACAACTGTTTCTGAAGCAATTCTCAGTAGACGACAAGGTTATCTGAGACCGGCCAGGAGGCCATAGGAATGACCCTGGTCCGGCAGGCAGGCAGGCAGATAGGAAGAGAGTCCAACAAAACAAGTGACTAAGACTAAAACTGGTTTAGCTTATAAAACTCGTGGCATATTTATTATTGCTTTAATAATCTCTTCATCGAGTCGGGAAATCTCTGTCCTCTCCACTGCGCACATCCCACCTCCAACTCCCAATCTGAGATTGGGGAACAATTCTGCTTCCTGCACACTGACAGGCTGCAGCTCCCAAGTGGCCCAAGCAGATCCTTTGCCTCTTTGAAGAGTGGATTTTTTTTTTTTTTTTTTTTTTTTTTTTTTTTGGCCTTCCCGGTCTCCTACTGGCAGTCTGCAAGGAGCCCCTGCAGAAATGACAGGATGAGAGCAAGCCGGGGTGGAGACCTTGCAATACACAGCGACCCCGTTCTCCGGCATCGCCCCAAACCTAAACTCCAACCCCTGTCCTAAGGAGGTTGAACCCCAAACACGAAAGGAACCTCAGGCCAAGCGCCAGAGCGCCTTTCCCCAGTCCCACCAGCAACCCGCCTCCGGAATCTGCCAGCGTACCCCTCAGCGCATCAGCCTAAAGCCAACACCCAGCGAAGTCCCGAAGCGGGGGCAGGAAGGCGCCGGAGGCAGCGTGAGGAACCCGGAGCGCGGAGGGCGCACTCCATCCTCCCTGGCACCGGGGAGCCTCCGCCGGGAGCCGCCCCGTGGGGGCAGCGGGAACAAGTCCTAGACCCCATCCGTCAGCCCAGGCGAAATAAACCGCTGGCAACAAGTGGGAGATGCAGTCCGCCGCGCCGCGGCCCGGGCCACTGGGAAAGCAGCGGGGTCCGGGGGCTCGCTCACGCCCGCGCTCCGCCCGCCGCTCGCTCCCCCCGCCAGATCCCCGGCCGGCGTGCTGGGCAGCCGAGCTCCCGCCCCCGCGCCGCCCCCGGGGCACTCACTGCTGCATTCGTCGTCCGCGCAGAGTTTGTGCTCTGCGAAGCGTCGGCCGGGGCCCAGATCCTGCTGGCCCCGCACCCGCCCGGAAAACCCGAGCAGGAGCAGCCAGAGGAGCAGCCCCGGCGTCGCAGCCATGTTGTGG